AAAAAAAAAATAGTGATTTTTTTTTTTAGCCATGTTTAAATGGCCAACACAAATTTTAGCCATATTTTGCAACAAACATCTTTTTTAGCCATTTTGGCACTTGAAAAGACTAAAATACCCTTACTAGCTATTTTTATATAAAAATAAAAAATAAAAAATCGTCAATTTCTGGGACCATAAATGATTTTTGGATCAAGAAATCAATTTCTGGGTCGAGAAATCGATTTCTGGGTCGAGAAATCGATTTCTGGTCCCAGAAATTGATTTTCAGTCCAGAAATCCAAGAAATGATTTCTGGATAAAGAAATTGATTTCTGGGTCCAAAAATCGATTCTTGGTCCCGGAAATCGATTTCTGGTCCAGAAATCCTCCTAGAAATCCAAGAAATGATGTCTAGATCAAGAAATCGATTTCTGGGTCCAGAAATCGTTTTTGGTCCCAGAAATCCCAAAAATCTTAGAAAAAAATTTCTGGGGCCGAAAATCGATCTCTAGTCCAGAAATCCTTTCTGTCCCAGAAATCTCAAAAATCCTAGAAATCCATTTCTGAATCCAAAAATCGATTTCTGGACTCAGAAATCCCAGAACTCCCAAAAACGATTTTTGGAATCATTTTTAGATCCTATAATGATTTCTGGTACAAAAAAATCGATCCCAAAAATCGTTTATGGTTCAAATTTTATTCATTTTATTATATACGACATTGTATCATATATAAGACATGTTTTTTTTGACATTGTTTGTTACTGAAATACTTTTGTATTTTTTTTATAGATGTCGTGTGGAAAAAGCTCGAATTGTGCATAACGAATTTTGGAATGAGAATGTCTATAAAAATGGACATGCAAAGATGAGCTTTATGCGTTTGAGGAGTTTGTCGCATTAAGACTTTTTAAATAAAATTCATGACATTATTTGTGGATATAAACACACGTGTGAGTATCAATATCACCTCTTGATGACAATGAAAATGGAGAGTTGAAAAAAAAACTTACTTCTAATATACATATATATATATATATATATATATATATATATATATATATTAAGAAGTTCATAGTATAAATTTTGTTAACTAGCACACCTGTAGTCACGGGTTTTGTACAAGTAAAAATGAAACACAAATACAGACATGAGATTTAACCATAGATGTTATATAATAATCCAGTACTCAACAATGAATAGGAGATCCTGCGACTACAATGCAAGCAAATACATGCAAGCGTTCAACGTACATGCAAGCAAATACACCACAATTACGGGTATCCTCTTGAACAAACTGAACTTCACTCGACATTCTTTTAATCGATAAGGCATCTAACTTGGGTGGAATATTCAAAGCACCAAAGTAACCGGACAGGTGAAGGAGTGTGGGAAGCAGTCGTCGGAGAGGGGTCAACATAAGCTCTCGGTCATTACACGCCTTCAACGATTAAATGTGGCTAAAGGAGTCGTAAAGCTCGATCTCCCAGTCCAATAACCGCACCCGACACACCACCCAATGCTCGAGAACATTACATACCAAAATGACCTGTCATCCGAAGTTACAAACCAACAATGTTATAAATGTTACAAGTACATTTCATACCATCCAGCATAATTTACCAATAATTAACACAACATTACATAGTCTATTTTTTTGTTAAAGCAACATGATTTTATTAAGAACAAAAGAAGAACTTACATTGGGATTTGTATGCCAAGGAGATCTCCAACGAAGAGTAGTACCATGAACATTATTGACCAGACCCGGAGGAACATTCCATCTTTCATAATTTGCGTCGTCTGGATAGCTATGCGTACATTGAGGATCGTCGGGATGAAGCACTTTCCATTGATTCGACAACAAGTCCTGAAAATAAGTAGTAAGCATCAACATGAATCATTCAACAAAATATAAATTATTTAAGCAAAAATATAATCAATAAAAACAGCAATTACAGATAGAGTGGAATCCTGAATGTTAATTGTTGAAACAAATACTCCTGACTTTAATTTGACCCCACTGTACAACCTCCGAGAAAGCACGTCCAAAAACGGATCGATATGCTACAAAAATTACAATTATATTAATTTTTTGAACTACTATATTCGAGTACTGAGATTGAATTCTAAAAAACAATTACTTACTTCGGTAGAAAGCATATTCCTGACATCCTCAATTTTTTAAAATAACATGGCGCTTGGTATTCTACCCCAACTTTTAACCTAACAAGAAAATTATTAAAAGAGAAATATGAGTTCATGTTAAGAAAATCTCACTCAAAACATTCACATATATGCTATAAATTTTAAAAATATAACAATTGTCATGCTACTTACATTGGAGATTTCTTCTTCTTCCAATTTTCGTATTTCACCTGTAATTGCTTCTCATTTT